ATGAAATTCAAAAGTTCCCAGGGCTTTTCCTGTCTACCTGGCCAGTGCATCTGAGTTGAGAGTGCTGTCCAGAGCAGTCACAATGGAGCACTCTGGGATAGCTCCTGGAGGCCAATACCGTCAAATTGCGTCCACACTACCCCAAATTCGACCCGGCGATGTCGATTTCAGCGCTAATCCCCTCGTTGGGGAGAAGTACAGAAATCGATTTTAAGAGCCCTTTAAGTCAACAAAAATGGCTTCGTTGTGTGGTCAGGTGCAGGGTTAAATCGATCTAATGCTGCTAAATTCGACCTAAACTCGTAGTGTAGACCAGGGCCAAGAGGCACACAGGAAGTTTGGGGCAGGGGAGGGGAATAGATTGCATGCTTTCAAAGCAGGGGTACCTGGTTTAGCTGAGGACCAACCAAAGGCAAAACAAGCTGACCTGGGAGAAGAGAGAAAGAACTAGAAAGGCTCCATAATTGGGAAATCAAGTCATGAGCGGCAGGAGAAGGACCCTAGACTCCCCCGGAGGACTTTGATCCCAACCCAGAGAATGCTTGGCACTGGTGAGGAAACTGAGGCAGGTAAATGCATGTAGGTTTTATTATTTTTGGATAGATCTGTGTATTTCTCATGCAATTACATAAACAGTAATGGTATTTTAGAATCCTGTGCAAAGTCTGTGTGTGTGTTATATGTTACACATATCATGAGCCCTTGAAGAGTAAACCAGTGGATCCAGAATGCCTATATGACTGGATTTCTGGGAGAAGGTGTGTTTAAGCTTTTGGGGAGTTTCAGGGGTAAGCACTGATAACAGGGGCCAGCCAGATGGACTGTGGGGCCACAACACTCAGAAGGGGGTGCTAAGTAGAGGAACTGCACCCCAAAAATGTGCCTAGGGACCCCAAGACAGGGGCAGTGCCTGGACTCAGTTCAGACTCAGGAGGGTTAAAGAACATAGGATCCAACAATTGATTCCCTCACAGCAGTCTGGTGAATGGCCAAGAGGGAGTGTTTAACTAGACCTGTCACAAATGCCTTCCTCATTTCTTTCTTTCAATTATTTCTTTGTCCCATGCCTAATAGTTCCACGACTTGATTTATGTACTTTCATTTCCATCTGCATTTCAAAAGTAGTGTTGCTTATATCTATCTAATCCAGTTTATTTATAATTCAATCTTGCCTTTATCCTACAATAATGTAACAGTAACCCCTGTAGCAGATGAACATTGATTCCTATCAAGTGACAGGAGTATTACCTTGTTCCATATCACGTGCCTGGGGCCAGGAGCTAAAATCAGTCTCCTATCTGTGTTCTTCTGTGGCGCTCGAATTATAAATACAAAAAGAAAAATATAACATTTCCAAATTCTTTAGAAAAAAGAACCAGAATTTAGGAAACAAAATTAAGGCAGACATTATGTCTTTAACTTAACCTGGTGTGTCACATACTTGCCATAATTTTTAATGTCCATTGAAATGCTCTAAAAACCTCTCCCCAGTTCTGTGTAACAGAGTAAAACAATTGTAATTATTTTATTGTAAAAATAAGGACTTTCCAAAACAGGCACCCTCACATCACCTACACTCTCTCCACTAATCCTTTTTTGGTGGAATTGTTTACATTCCAAGCCCCTGAGAAGCTTTCAAACAGCCATCTTTTTCTACTTAAAATCTACCAATTTTTTTTCTTTTTACCCGAAATGTAGACTTTCTCCCCAAACCTAAACTGGTGTAAGGTTCAGGACATGCAATATTCAGTCCTAGATCAAGGATAATTTTAAGATCAGCTATCTTATGAGCCACCAGGGTTAGAAGAACAAGCCACATTGTCTTTGGAGAGTTGAGATTTCCCCTCTTCTAATGTTATAAAACGTGTGATTCTGTCCCTGGGAGTTTGTAACTAGCAGGACTTAAAATTACCATACCTTATTATATAGACAAGCTAGTTTATATAACTTCTGGAGGTTTTAAAAGTGTTCTTTTCCCCCCCCGTCACCTTGTGTATAGCCAAGGCTATAGGAAAACAGCACAAAAGACAGGTATAAATAAATAAACATAAAAACTCTAAAAAGTACCTAAAATAACTTCTTTTAAAATGTGGTGTAAACAAAGCCCATTCTTCTGCCTTTGCAGCTATCAATATTATTTCCATAGTAAGAAGACTACCTCAAGTGGGGGAAGAAAAAACCCAAACAAAACAGCACTGCAGAGCCAAACAAGCTTCCTAAATAACCAAACAAAATAAGAAAAAATATATGGGATACATAAAATCTGAGATAGCGTGATATATGGCTCTTATTGCCACCTGTTTAAGAGGAGCTGCATAATTCCCTTGCTGCCAAGTATGGTCATCCCATCACAAGTTTTCCAAATAATTAAAAATAATAAACAATGGTAAATAGCACCTTTCATTTCAAAGTACCAGTATGCTTAAGGAAATGTGAATAATTTCCTTTGAAACTGGAATCATCTTGTCCATCAAGTACTTCCATTCGGGCATTCACTGTCAGTTTGAATAAATAACAAACTCAAGGCTAAATTCTCCTCACACATCACGTTTTCAAGGCTGTTGTACCCTCTCTATACGTGTGAATACCCACTGCCCTAAATTTACAGAATAGAAAAGATTTTAGAAATAGTGCTGGTGTCTTTCTTTAATAATAGTATCTAGAATCATGTATTGTACTATAGAGAGCAGATTAGTACTTAAGAGATCTACCAGGTGACTGACAGAGAACTTGGATCTCAGTCTGTGTCTATGGACATTTCATATTAACACCTGATAAATTTACTAAAAATCTATGGACTCAAAGTTGTCACTTCAATAAGGACGACTATGTAAAATCCACTATTTTTTTTGAGTTAGTTTTTCCATTGCAATGAATGTCTGCCAATATTGGCGAAAATAAATTAAAGCAAGAATGGACATAGTTTACCTTTTAGCAACACACTTTATTTTTGCATTGGTGGTAGTTAGTTTGCCCACACGTTTAGCATATTATGTGACAGTGTGCCAACTTCACTGCAGTCACTTCATGTATTAGATTTGAGGGGGTTAAATAGTTGTTTATATTTGGTGCTATTTTGTCCAGACATCCTACAAGTGCACATAGTAGTTTGGTTTTGAAACTTATGCTATATGAGAATTATAAAGTTGGGAAGAATGTAAGGGGAGGAACCTAATGATAAGATATCGGGCTCATTACTGCCTTCATGGATCAGGTAAGGGTAGGCCCATAGCTTGAATGCAATACTAAATGCAGCAGTGTGGAGTTAGACCCTAGGTGAGGGAATAAACACTGATTGCTTCCTGGAACTTGGTCATGTTTAGAGAGACACAATAGGAATGGAGGAAACCGGGTAATGCTTTACCGTGACTCGTGTGATGTTGGCCCTTGAATAAGGTTGCCAACTTTCCAATTTCTGGACACTGGACACTCCTGCTCCACTCCCTCCCACAAGGACCAACCCTCCATTCGCTCCTCCCCTTCCCCCCACGCCCAGGCCAGGCAGGGCTGCCCAGAGGGGGAGCAAGTGGGGCAATTTGCACCAGGCCCCGCAGGGGCCTCCACGGGAATATAGTATTCTATAGTATTGCAACTTTTTTTTATGGAAGGGGCCCCCAAAATTGCTTTGCCCCAGGCCCCCTGAATCCTCTGGGCAGCACTGAGGCCAGGGACCACTGCACTCTTCCTACCCCACCAGTTACCTGCAGGGGGAAGTCTCCTTCCGCTGCACCTGCACCCCTCTCCCCCACGGCATGTTCAGCCCGCCCCCAGCAGCTGGGCCTGGGTGGGGGTAGCCTACTGCCACTGCCTCCCACAGCCAGGCTCTCTCTCAGGCAGCCCAGCCACTCTCCGACCCATTTCTGGCTCACTCAGACTCTGACCCTGGCAGCCAGGCCTGGGCGGGGAGTGGAAGGGATGGGATCACCCACTTCTCACACCAGCCGCTCCACTCGGGGTTGGCGTGAGAGCCAACCAGCCTCCCAACCACTCTGGCGGCTGCCTGCAAGAGAGCACGAGCCTGGCTGTGGGAGGACAGAGCCCCTCTCCCTGCGCTGGCAGGTCAATCTGGGAGTGGGGGTAGGGCATGTGCCCCCACATACCCCGCTAGCTCCTGTAGGTGGCGACCGGACTTCTGGTGTCCAATATTCGTTTTAGACCCAACATCTGGCAACCCTACCCTTGAACAGCACTCAGCCTGTATTCCTCACTGATAAAATGTCCTTTGAACAGAAAGAAGCCAGAGTTCATTAGGCTACTGAATAGCATATGGTTGACACCCCTCTCCCCCATAATAGCCATTCAGCAAATCATTTCAATATATACCATCGTGACATTGTGCAGTCTATGGTTTTAAAGTGAATATAATGTAACTGGGATATGCTTCATGCAAAAGGTCTCTTGTAAGGTATCATTACAAAGTTTATAATCTACTGAGTGTGATCATCCTATTTGTATAAATGTACCACTTGTATCTGAAACTAGAAATATAAACTATAACTCTGAGGGCTTATTGTAATTATGCAAAGTGTGGGCCATTAATGGTGGTTTGGAATCTTGACTCCCATTAACCAGGACCATTGTCTGCAGATGGCTGTGTTTTACCTGTGAGTCTTCCTGTATGTGTGTGTGCTGGCAAGTGGGTAATGAAGTCTTGCAGTGACATGTGATCATGTCACCTGAACTGGAATCCATCTTTAACCTGGTGCTTTTCCAGTGAGGGGGGTGGAAACCCAGAGGGACAAAGGGTTCCCGCCTTATGCAAAAGATATATAAAGGGGTGGGAACAGAACAAAGGGAGAGAGAGGAGCCATCATAAAGAATCCCCTAGCTACCACCTAAGCTGGCAGGAAAAACAGGAGCAGAGGTAGTCCTGGTACATTAGGTGGCAGCTCCCAAGGGGGTTGTGTGATCCAACCCGTCACAGCCATCATATGCTGTTTTAGTTACAGAACTGTTAAACAATGATGACATTGCGATTCTGCTGGTATCAAACTATTTATTGAAAAAATACCCCACAGTAAATAAGCTTGATGGGCAGTTAAAGCAGACAGACTGTATTACATTTCCCAACAATTGTTCTTTCCTTCAACTCTTGGGCAATCTATCAGTTTCTCAAACACAGTAATAATGAAGTTTCCTGTTACTGTTTATCTGTATTCCTTCTGTAGCATTACAGTACATATATTTTCTATTATGATGTGTGCAAAACTTCAATACGCAAGAACATCCACACTATTTGTAACAATAGAGCAGAATAAATGATACTCTAAAAAAGTCATACTTCAGTATTGTGTATTCTCTTCCTTTATTTTCTTATACACAGATGGCAGAAAAGAGGAAGTCTCCAACACGCTGGTTCAGTCTGACCATCTGTGTGGAAGAGGGTTGAATGCTGCCTTGGTCACTGTCACCTTGCGTGATGCTCTGGATACTTCTGGAACCTTCTGGAATTCCATTAGAGCTCCACGTAGAAAATTTCTCCTTGACATTTTTATACATTGGGCAGATCAGCAAAAAGTGCTGAGCAATTTTTTTCCACTGATGATTTCAGAATACAAAGTCACGTCATTACTAGATTTACGCTGATAAAGCTACTTAAGCACCACACTCTAGATAATCTTTGAGCATTTGTGGTTCCTGCTTTGAACTGTTCAAGTCTAATTAACAGATCTGAGTGATGGATAAATTGCTAATAAAATTCAAAAGTCAATACTATAAATTGACTGTAAAACAAGAACAGCTGTGTTTTAGTGAAATGGAAGTGATATACTCAGCCAAATGGTTCTGGATACCTTTGTTTAGAGCTCAAGAAAGGAAGCTTTTCAAAAAACCTTTCTACACTCTACATTGAAATAATTAAGGGCATGTTTATATTAGCGGGGGACGGGGGATGAGGAAGCTAACACTGATTTTAACACTGGTGATAAAACAGTGGTAGTTGGGAGCTGAGCAACAAAATGCCCATTATGTAAGTGGTTAAAAAGATTTTAAAAATTATTCTTTGACTATTATTCTTTGCTTCATTTATGTACCAAAAGCCCATTAAAGGGTTCATTGCCCTTCCAGAACCGATGCTGTGTTTCTTTTTAAGTGGTGAAGTTCAGGCAACTGGAATTTTTGAAATGTTACATTAGACAGTATTGATGCACAAATACTTTCAACATCTGAAGCACCTTATATCCAAAGATCTCTCAGTGCTCAACAAATGTCAGTGAGGTATTTCAAACCTGTGAGGTATTAGGCTGCATTCACCCATGCTGACAAAGGGAAGTGGTGGTGATGGGGCAGGTAAGCTGCTATTTCTGGGGGATTAGGACAGTCAGGGTTTGCACTGCCTGTGGAGTGGCTGGCTGAGATGTCTGCTTGTCTGCTAAACTGTTAGTTACCTCCTTCTCCCACCTTGTTGTGTTTTGTCCATCTGCCACATCCTGTCCACCACCCAGATTGTATGTTCTCTGCAGCTGGGACTGTCTTCTATGTTACTTGCTTGTACATAGCCTATCACAATAGGACCTTGATCCTTAATTGGGGTTTCCAGGAGCTACAAGATAAATAGCAGCAGCTGCTATGAAGTAAGGTTCAGAGTCTATAGAAATCCTGGTTGGAAAAGCTGCCTGTCCCTTTGTGATCAATACTGCCCACTTTTGGGCCCTCTGTAGGCCATCCCTGACAGAGCAGTGGTTCTGGGACTTTCAGAGACTTTCTTGTGCCTTAGATATTTGAGGGCACCAGCCAATATAATACAGAATTGAATCAAGCCCATCATCTACATTTTACAGGTTGGAGAATAAACAACAGAGGTTAACAGTTGTTTGAGGTAACAGTGTGTTTGAGACAGAGTGGGGACAAAACCCAGATCCTGTGCTTTAGTCCCAAAACCAGTCTTCCTTTCTTAACTAAAATATATTAAAACTGCAAAATACTTGCTTTGAAATAATACCTTTTACATCAAATATTAGAATCCAATAAGAAAAACTTATGACAAAGGATTGAAAGAGAGCTTTTTGGTAGAACACAGTATTTAATCCATTAACATAATATTTAAGTTCATAAGAAAATATAAAATGCAACATGTCTTGATGTATCTAGAGAGCAGCTACCCAACTGTAGTCCATTCTTCTTATCTTTCGCAGTTGTTTTTCCTGAGATTTAGACAGTTTAGTTTGGGTAATTTCACCCAAAAACTCTGTAGGATTTATATCTTGCTCCATCTCAGTAAGCTCTAAATCCTCATCTGATTCATCCTCTGCTTTTTCACTGTCCATTTCAACTTCATCAACCACTTCTCCGGCACTTTAAAGTAGGGGGACAGAGGAAAAGAGAGACTATCAGCATATTCTACCACAGTAAGGAATGAGAATATAGTTTCGATACTAAACCATGATACTGAGTTAAATTGTCTGTGCAGGTGAATTTATATACGTTATATGACTTATTTATGTAGCACTGCAAGAGCACTAGGTACTTTACTTACAAGGAAAAGATATGCCCCAAAGAATTTACAATTTAAACAGATTACTCTCAGCATATGTAGCACATATATACACACAAACACACTACAAATATCTATAATAAGGCCTAATATTTGGGTCTGATCCAATGTCCTTTGAAGTCGATGGAAAAATTCCCATTGCCTTAAATGGGCACTAGAACAACCCCTTAAACTGAACAGCTATATGTTCAACTGCATGCATCACACACCTTTGCCCATCTCATCCACTCTCTACCCACTAATCCATTTCTCCTGGATTTATTACAACAATCCAAACCCTTGAACACTTCCAAATACCTGCTGTTTTATTTGAAATGAAACATATCTGATAATTTTTTTCTCCATATTATATTTGAATAAGGTACTGTATAGACTATATTCAGTCCTGCATCAATAATAGGTATAATCTCATGATTTTACAGAACTAGAAATGGGTGTTTTATACCATTGGAAGAGTGAGTTTTCCACCCTCCCTACAGGCCACAATATCATCTTTAAGACCTGGAGAATGCAGAGATATCAGACCTTAAAGTGTCGACATTTATAAGTATAGAAAAAGCTTTACAGTTAACTTTTCAAAGAAACTTTAAAAAGTTATTGCTTATAGTGTCCTCTCTCCTGCTCACACTCCCTCAATCTTGTGCAGACGACCAAATGATATTAAGGTAGAATGGGTTTCAAAAAAAGAGTCCCAATAAAAATGTTTAAAATAGTTACCTACAGAATACATGCAGCTGCATGTTGTCTGAAAGTTTAATTGGAACTTGTCTGAGATGATCTGTATAACTCTCTGCTTGCGAGTAACATGGGCGTCCTACACTCATCACTGAATTAAGAAATCTGTACCACGCACCCTATATATATATATAGACATCTATCTATCTATCTAGATCTATATCTCTTAGATATATCTGCCTGCATCTTGATGTCAGTATCCATATCTGCCTGTCAATGGTATATAACTTGCATATGCGTGAAGTGTATGTATAATTTATATATATATATATACACACACACACACACACACACACACACACACACACACACATATAGTATTTATACAGTTTTTACATATTTGAATGTCACTGTCTTTTTAGAGCCCAATCCTACAAATTCTTATGCTCATGTGTAACTTTACTTATTTGGATAGAACCAGTAATTACAATAGGATTTCAGATGAGTAATGTTACACATGTGTAAGTATTTATAGGATAAGCTGTTAGACTGTATGTGCAGAAATTCTAACCAGGACTACTGACAAACCCTCCTAGTGTAGATACAGCTTATACCAGCTAAAAAGTGCTGTTGCCCATATAGCTTAAGCTGGTTTAGTGAGCGAAGCAAGTTCTACTGGCAAAAGCACTTTTATACTGAGATAACTGCATCTACATGACGGCGTTTGCTGGTACAGAAATGTTGCAAAAACAAGATAGAAAACACCCCTTCCCTGTACCAGCAAAGGTTTCTAGTGTCTGGTGTATGTCTTTGCAAGTGTTTGTGAAATGCCTAATGCATAGGGTACCCAATCCTGGTTTGAGCTGTTTGAGCTGGTGGGCACTACCACAATATGAATAATAATAATAATAATAATAAAAAACAAAAACAAAAAAAACCACGTTTCTCTGGAGATCTAATTCATTGTTTGGTACACACTTATGTATGAAAGGTTTTCAAGAATAGGCGGTCTAAAGGTTAATCTGAGCATGCTAAGTATTTTATTGGCTTCAGTGTACTTAGCATGCTAATAAATCTACTACAAAATTACTATCATAGGCCACCAACCCATTTTTTTTTTTTTTTTTTTAGAACATACATTCATCTCACAAAAGAGTAAGCTTCATAAATGAAGACACCTCAGACATACCAAAGTGTTGCATATTGCTGCTAAACCAGTTAATCCTGTAAGCTTGCTATGCATGCTATCAATAAATTAAGTCCTAAATAAAAAAAAAAAACTAGGAACTCCTGTGGGGGCGCCTCTCCCCCAGTTTTAACTATTTAAATTTTGCCTTCATGATCTCCTTTACAGATAGAGTATTCACTTCTTGAGACTTCTAAAATGAGGAGTATGTAGAAATGAACATGGATTCAAAGTGCAATTACTAATACAAATAAATGGAAAGGTCTGTGAATGTCTAACAGACATTTATGTAAAAATATCATTTAAAAAAAGATTTGGTCCTTGAATGAAGGTTGAAAACAGTTTAATAGGAAATGAGAAATTTCTAAACTTAAAAGGCAATTTTTCTTATGTTTACATGGAGGCCAGAAAGTTTACCCTCCTGCCCCAAATCAATAAATTGGCACAGATTGATTCTAATAACAATCTAACAAGATCTTACAGCTTAGGGGGAAAGGTTATGCATTTAAAAAGCAGCTTTAGAAGATATTTAAATGGTTGTAGAAATGGCACCTTAATTATAATCATTCTTATTAAAAAAAAAAAAATAGGAAAACTGCCACAACACTTGGAAAATATCAGCTAGATCTTCCTAACTGACATATGAAACTTATTTAAGCCACCAGCCTTGACTGTTTTTACCTTTTATTCTCCTTGGATATCAGCATTGAATTGATAAAAATGGAACACAGGAAAGAAGCAGATGGCAACACATGTGCAGGAGTGTGTAGGAGCTGATGAGACAAGAAAACAGTGGTTTTATTAAAGTTCCATTTTTCATGCTTTTATATATGCATGTTTATCTCACACACACACTCTCTCTCTCACCTCTTTGATTGCAGGTGAATCTTGGGCTAAGTGACTCTGGACAACTGCTGTGCCAAGATCTGCATTCTCTTTGGATCGTTGCTGATGCCTGTGCTTTCCCAATAGCAAATAAAAGGGGGTCATAGGGAGACTCTCCTCTACTGCCAGCTAAAAAGAGCAAAGTAAAAAACAGAATAGGTAGTTTAAAAGGGGAAAGAGGCCTTCCTTTCTGAGAAGAAGAAGAAGGAAAGGACAATTTTTCAGTGCCAAGAATCTGAATTCCCCCTCTCCTACTAATGCCAACAGCTAACAAAATGCTAATGTTCAGCAATAAGTGTTTAGAATTTACCAAGGCACAGTTCAGATATAGTCTAATTACAGTCAGATAGAAATATGCAAGAAAGTTCAGATACAGTCTAATTCACTTGGATATTGTGAATATTTTGCTTTAAATTTTACATTTAATACTCCACATTAAACTTTAATTCAGTTATAATCAGAAAAGTGACTTTGTAACAACAACAAAAAAGCACCTTTCTACTCAAAAGATCTGGTTTCAGTGCACATTCTGAATAAGATCAGATTACTTCAATTACTCAAGGGCATATTATCCCCTCTGCCTCTGCATGCAGGGTGGATAAAAACTGATAAGGTCCAAATTTAGATTATAATCTATTAAGGTCATTTAAATTAAATACAAAAATATTAAGCAGTACATGTTTGCTGCCAAATATTAAAGGAAGTCAAACCACTGGACTGGTGGAAGTCACTGGTTATGCACCTGGAACCAGAATTTGTTGTAGTGCTAAACCAGTTTTTGACAACAGTAGCCTCTTCTGCAGGTACAGGAAGAATATTTTCTTTATTTCAGTTTATTCCCCTAGTTCAGTTCAATTACTTGCTCATTCAAAGTTAAGAAACTAACTGGGAGTTGAAATGGCAGGAATACTTTGTTTTCCTCTTCCAATCTAGGAATAAAATCTAGGTGTGAGAGGATGAGATCTATTAGTTCTAAAATCTTGAAGGACACAATGACCAAAAAATCAGTTCAATTCACTAACTACAGATATTACCTTTATTTAATAAATCAAGTTTTAAATATGAAAAATATTTTGCTCAATTTTATTATAAGAAAAAAGTTTAGTATCCAGCACATTTTAAGGTACCGTATAAACTCGTTCGTAAGTCGAATATTTTTGGTAAAAAAAGTGACACATCAAAGAGCGGGGGTTGGCTTATAAACAGGTCTACACCAAAATTTGATGATTTAAAACTCTATGGCAGGGGTCGGCAATCTATGGCACGCATGTCAAAGTGAGCTGATTTACTGTGGTATGCTGCTGCCAGCCTGGTGTCCCTGCCGCCAGCCCAGCTCAGCCCGCTGCCGGCCTGGATGGATGGAACCCCAGGCTGGCAGCCGGTTGAGTGGGGCTGGTGGCCGAGACCCCGGCTGGCAAGGGCCGGAACCCCAGACCAGCAGCGAGCTGAGCGGCTCAGCCCACTGCCAGCCGGGGTCCCAACCGCCGTCCCGCTCAGCTGGATGGGCAGAACCGGCAGTGGGCTGAGCCGCTCAGCCGCCGCCAGTCTGGGATTCCATCAGCTGGCCCCTGTAAAAGTCAAAATGTATTACTGGCACGTGAAACCTTAAATTACTGCGAATAAATGAAGACTTGGCACGCCACTTCTGAAAGGATGCTGACCCCTGCTCTATGGAATCATTGAATAGAATATCTAATACATTGTCGTTTTGTTTACCTGGAGCGTCTGCAGGCATGGAGCCCCTCAGCTCCCTGTGGCCGCGGTTCGCTGTTCACAGCCACTTCCCGCAGCTCCCATTGGCTGGGAAATGCGAACCACGGCCACAGGGACCTGAGGGGCTCCGTGCCTGCAGACACTCCAAGTAAACAAAACATCCCGACCTGCCAGCGGCTTACCCTGACGGGCCGGGAGACAAAGTTTTCCAACCCCTGAAATATAGGGTCAGCTTATGAAAGGGTCATACAGTTTTTGCTATTTTTACCTACACTTAGTTTCAATTCAACATGCTTTAATGGTTACCAACCCATGAGAAATCAACTTTTCTTTTGGAAAATAACTAAAAAGTACAAATGCAAACCATAATTAAAATCAATGATTTAAATCAAGGTTTGATGCTTGCTGATTTAAATAATGATTAAAACCAGTGATTTACTTCAATTCACTCTATCTGCATGAAGAGGGGACGGGCATCCAGTGGCTCTTGGGCCCAGCAGACAGAATCACAGAACTGGAAGAGACCTCGAGAGGTCATCTAGTCCAGTCTCCTGCACTCAAGGCAGGACTAAATATTCTCTAGACCAGTGCTTCTCAAAGTCGGACCGCCGCTTGTTCAGGGAAAGCCCCTGGCGGTCCGGGCCGGTTTGTTTACCTGCCGCGTCCGCAGGTTCTGCCGATCGCGGCTCCCACTGGCCGTGGTTCGCCGCTCCAGGCCAACAGGGGCTGCAGGAAGCGGCAAGGGCCGAGGGATATGCTGGCCACCCTTCCCACAGCCCCCATTGGCCTGGAGCGGCGAACCGCGGCCAGTGGGAGCTGCAATCGGCCGAACCTGCGGACGCGGCAGGTAAACAATCCGGCCCGGACCACCAGGGGCTTTCCCTGAACAAGCGGCAGACCGGCTTTGAGAAGCACTGATCTAGACCATCCCTGACAGGGGTCTGTCCAACCTGCTCTTAAAAATCCCCAGGGATGAAGATTCCACAACCTCCCTAAGCAATTTATTCCAGTGCTTAACCAATGACAGTTAGGTAAAATTTCCTAACATCCAACCTAAACCGCCCTCGCTGCAATTTAAGCCCATTGCTCTTGTCCTATCCTCAGAGGTTACGAACAACAATTTTTCTCCCTCCTCCTTGTAGCAACCTATTATGTACTTGAAAACTGTTATGTCCCCTCTCAGTCTTCTCTTTTCCAGACTGGAAAAAATTGGGTTTGTTTAATCTTCCCTCAGATGTCATGTTTTCTAGACCTTTAATCATTTTTGTTGCTCTTCTCTGGACTTTCTCAAATTTGTCCACATCTTTCCTGAAATGTGGCGCCCAGAACTGGGCACAATACTCCTGTTGAGGCCTAATCAGCACGGAGAAGAGCGGAAGAATTACTTTTCGGGTCTTGCTTACAATACTCCTGCTAATACATCCCAGAATGATGTTTGCTTTTTTTGCAACAGCGTTACACTGTTGACTCATGTTTAGCTTGTGATCCACTATGACCCCCAGATCCCTTTCTGCAGTACTCCTTCCTAGGCAGTCATTTCCCATTTTCTATGTGTGCAACTGATTGTTCCTTCCTAATTGGAGTACTTTGCATTTGTCCTTATTAAATTACATCCGATTTACTTCAGACCATTTCTCCAGTTTGTCAAGATCATTTTGAATTTTAATCCTATCCTCCAAAGCACTTGCAACTCCTCCCAGCTGGGTATCATCCGCAAACTTTATCAGTGTACTCTCTATGCCATTATCTAAATCATTGATGAAGATATTGAACAGAACCGGATCCAGAACCGATCCCTGCGGGACCCAACTCGTTATGCCCTTCCAGCATGACTGTGAACCACTGATGATTACTCTCTGGGAACGATTTTCCAACCAGTTATGCACTCATCTTATAGTAGCTCCATCTAGGTTGTATTTCCCTAGTTTGTTTATGAGAAGGTCATGTGAGACCGTATCAAAAGCCTTACTAAAGTCAAGATATACCACATCTACCGCTTCCCCGCTATCCACAAGGCTTGTTACCGTGTCCAAGAAAGCTATCAGGTTGGTTTGACACAATTTGTTCTTGACAAATCCATGCTGACTTATTTATTACCTTATTATCTTCTAGGTAGTTTGCAAATTGATTGCTTAATTATTTGCTCCATTGTCTTTCCGGGTACAGAAGTTAGGCTGACTAGTCTGTAATTCCCCAGGTTGTCCTTATTTCCCTTTTTATAGATGGATACTATATTTGCCCTTTTCCAGTCTTCTGGAATGGCTCCCATCTTCCATGACTTTTTAGAGATAATTGCTAATGGCTCAGAAGTGTCACTTTTGTGACTTCCTTCTCCTTTAACCCAAGCTCATGAATTGAGGATCCCAGGGAGAAAGGGGGTTAGCTATGCAGCTAACATTATAACTCACCAACATTTCCTCTGCAATTTGGACCCCATCCTCAAAGGAGGAGTAAGTCTGGGGGCATGGACTGAGTGGAGCCATTTGCATAGCTCCTGTAAAAGCCATGTTAACAAGGAACTTGAGAGAGGCAGTTGAGGAAGAAGGGCCATACAAATCCAGTGGAAACCCCCAAAATCTAAATCACATCTTCCCTACCCCTACATGGGAGCAGAGGTACAGCTCCAAGGCAAAGCCAGTTAGATTCTATACTGGTTCATGCATCAATTAACTTCGAACAATGTATCCTTTAATACACACGTTGATACATGAACTAGAAAGAACCCATCTTGACTTTCAGATTCCAGGTGTATACACAAGCCTAGAAATTAGAATTACCTCCTCAACACTGTCAACTGAGCAGCCTGGATCTGGAGTCAGATACCCCAGGGCAGTGGTTTTACACAGTCACTTCTCAGACTAGTATCACTACCACTGAACTATAGAGTACAGCTGAGTAAGGAATAAACGATGAATAGTTACTATTTTCCTCAAACAACAGATGAATATAGTTTTAAGAAGTCTATTTTAAGTCTTACTGATTTGTTTTAGATTGTGACTATGAATACTAGCTATTTGAACTTTGACCTGCATTGCTTAATTGGGATTGATCAAATTAATCAAGTGGTACTGTTTTTGTTCTGATTCAGTGAGTATGGAAGTACTCCTAGGGCAAGTCTACATTGCCGCTTAAGTCAATCTAACTTACGTCGCTCAGTTAGAAAGTTACAGTGAACTAAGCATTGTCCACACCAGCGCTATGTCAGCGGGAGATGCTCTCCGATTCAGCTGCGCCAATGTAGCGCTTCTGTATAGATCTGCCCCTAGTATGAATGCTTTCGGTATATGAATTTTAAATTCACTCAATACTTGCTCATATAATTTTGAAATTCACTTATTAACACTAGTCATCATGAAGATAAATCAAATTTCCACTTTCTATGAAACGCAAACAAAGGGCCATAAGGGCCATTAACAATATGACTACAGTAGAACCTCACAGTTACGAACACCGCGGGAATGGAGGCTGTTTGTAACTGAACAAAACGTTATGGTTATTCTTTCAAAAATTTACAACTGAACATTGATACATTAAAATACAGCTTTGAAGAAGAAAAATGCTGTTTTTAACCATCATAATTTAAATGAAACAAGCACAAAAACAGTTTCCTTACCTTGTCAAATTTTTTTTAAAACGTTCCTTTATTTTTTTAGTTGTTTATGTTTAACACAGTACTGTACTGTTTTTGTTTTGGGGTTTTTTTTGTTTTGTTCTTTTGTCTCGGCTGCTGCCTGGTTGGAACCAGAAGTATGCAAATGAGGTGTGAGATTGACCAGTTAGTTCATAATTCTGGTGTTCATTCTTTTGAGGGTCTACTGTATGTATAATTTATAAAATATGAATTGACTTCTACACAAAGTCAATTTTTTGCATTTTCCCAGCTCTACATGAAAAAGCATTTTCAGAAGTTACAGAATCCAGCAACTCCATTATTAAGTATACAAGAAAATAGTTAACACAGAAAACTAAAGATTTTAAACAGCTGCAGTGAAATGTCAATTGAGAAGTAATAGCACTTTAAAATACCAAGATACCGCTTTTAAGATATGTGCTTTTAGTACAGATGTAACACTTTTTTGCCAGGAGAAAGGACAGCGATTTGTTACTTCAGCTTTTAATAAGTCTCTATAAAAGGAGCAATACTGCTGAAAAATAAGCAAAAATCAAATTAAACATGACTGCACCTTTAGATTAGCACCTCTAGCATGTCAAGGTTATCTGAACACTTATGATAGAAGAGAATTTAGATCTGACAAATAAGTGTCCAACTGAACGAATATTGAACTCCTTTGCACAGTTCGACTATCAGAACAACTATAAAAGTACCTGTTTGCTTGATGGTGTAAGCCTTTCTTCTGTGGACTTTGTGCTAAATGTCAGTAGATCCTAGAACATGCAGAATGATGCAGTCAGATTATGGAATGGAATAAGGTGTTCTATACACGTCAATGTATTATTTACAAAATAGTTTCACGGTCTAAAAAGTTATTTGAGTGAAATAAAAGGAGACACAGTCCCCACTGTATATTTCATACAGAACCCACAACAAAGCAACGAAGGGGAAAAATCAGAGACCAAGAGGTAAATTAAAGTTAATGTAGATGGGGGGGGGGGGGGGGGGGGGGGGAAAAGAAAGAAAGGGGGGGGAGGAAAAAAAGCTCTGGGGGAAGCTAGTAAGTTTTGGATTTAATAATTTAATTTTTAAAAATATTTGCATAAAGAGCAATAAATAGCTCATAAGGTAGTCTGATAAGTGTTAGGCAATAATGGCAATTATCTTTATAGATCCCCAGATTATGTAGTGTTGCTCTTTCATCTGGTTGAGACAGTAAAAACTAAGAACAACTGAAGTGGAATCAACAGTAATCAATTAAGAAGCTGTTTTGGAAACTGAAAACTAATGATCACGTTATACCTTATGCGGGTTAAAAGCAACATCATCATCATCAGAGGAAGCCCATTACACTAACTACCAGAGGCCTGGATTTTTATTGCTTGATCAGCAGTTAGCGTGAACGTTTTAAAGTGACAGTTCTCTTATTTCCCCTTCCCTGCCTGTCACTTCTTACCTGTGTTTCAGTCAGGAAGTAAAGCTGAGATCTGCTTAACCACTGGTGTTTTTCTGAGCCAATTGATTCAGGCACATCTCTTGGAATGAAGACAGCCCACTGGACTCTCTCTCTACAGACATTTCTCTGGATACAGAATGGCCTTGGCTCATTTGGCTTAAATACAAACACTGGCAAAACAAATATTTGTTATTTTTAATAAACAAAAGCACTTTCTTCCCACCCTTCTTGGGCTAGACAAGGCCCCACATGTCAAAGCCAAAGATGGCTGGATAGGACTCCCCTTAACTTCAGTGTGCAGTTATCCTTAATTGGATGGATAAGATGTTACTGAATGATAGGAGGCACTCCCATGCCCAAGAATGTACATGCTACCTTCATGGTATTCCCAGCCAGAGAGCAAAAACAGAAACTAAACCCCTCTGCAAAGCAAAAGATCTACATGAGACATTATACACAGTGAAACAAATGCTCCACCCCCCCTAAATTTAGGTAGTGTGGAAAGGACTAAGAACTAGGGATGTAAATACAGTTTAAAAAATGAACTGTTAAAATAATTTAAAAAATATTTCATTTAAACAGTTAACCAATTAAAGGGCCAGCAGAGATTAACAGTTAAGGCGGGTTAACCAGTAAGACTAATGCTTACCAGTTATCTGGTTAACATTTTACATCCCTACTAAGAACACCCCATGCAGAAAGACTGACTGACCCATATTTTCATTGCCAAAGCAGCAGCCAACTGTGTTCTGGGAAGGCTGGGTGGCAGCGGAGCCCTACTTAACTGCTGGTGTCAAGACATGGCCCAGTTTCTTATACAGACAAAATTTAAGGAACTACAGTCTATTTTGTGAATTTAAAAAAAAAAAAAAAGGTCTTCAACAATAAAAATACAATCTTCTAGAAGTTGTGTTTTCAGTGTTGCAGCTTTCACCATCTTCTGCTAGCGAAGGAAACCTTTGTACTTACAGTCTGAGCCTTCCAAGAGCCGTGAGACTGCAGCAATGTTTTCTGAAAGGGAGTCAGGTTGCAGCACCATGACGTTGAGCTGGGCACTCCATTCCACTAAAAAATAAACCATGAGACATGAAAGGAAGCCAGATGTTTTACTAAATAAGAGGCCAAATGTGGAAAAGACACCTATAGCTATACCTCTGCCTGGAAGACTCAAACTTTAATATTCACAGATGAGTCAAAACAGATATAAATATGAGTCCTGCTGTACCAGAATAAGAGAAAAAGGGTTTGATTATCTAGTCAGTTGGAGTTTGCTGTGCACACACTCTGGACCTGAATGTTTTTTTTAAAAAATATTAAACTCTGATTTGCATAAACTAGTCATACTTGTACTGAATAGAAGGAAGCATACAATATTGTTTGGAATCCTGCTATCCCAAATCCGTTCATTACTCTTCTCCAAACTACTACTCAGTACAACCTGATTTAGTTTGTAGGCTCTAAAAAGGAGATGGAAAGTAACCCTTGCATATTGACAGGATATTTCTCTAACCAGTAGAAAGCTGTTAACCTCATTCTCCTACGTTGTACTCAGCCTCAGCTTGTGAACTTGCACAAAATTGCAGGTTTTAAGCTTTTTAAAATTATTGATTTAAATGTTCACTGTTGTGGGAAATTATGGGAGAGTAAGACAATTATCTGGTGATGGCAGACATCAAGATTCAAAAAGTTAGCTTTAAAACTGTTGTCAATATCACATTGCAAAATATACAAAGTAACTATCTTTAAAACAAACTACGAAGTTCTCAAGCAGCATTTTTCTTATTTTGCCTATCTAAATTTCTATTATTATTGATGAGAACTTTGTCGGTTTGCATGTACGATGAAATCAATGTTTACTGACATTTACCAATAAAAATTAAACTTTCCAAGCCTAATCACATTCCAGCTCAAAAAATTCCCTCAATAGTCAAAATGTAAGTGTTAACATTTCAGTCAAGATTGCTGCAGGCTTTACAATGTGGTAGTGTTAGGCCTTAGCTACACTATTATCAGTACTGCCCTGGCAGGTAACATTCACTGATTTAACAAAATCGATCTTACATGCACAACTGAGCAGGTTCCAGCAACACAGAAAGCCATTATCGGTAGTGCCAAGAAGGTATTTGGAACAACTTAGTCTCCCAAAACACAAGTTCCTAGGTGAATAAAAGCCAAAACAAAAGTTAATGAGCCTTCTGTTTATCTTTGTAAATTACCATTACAATCACAAGCATGCTTTCAGTTAAATCTTAAATCCTTTTAAGTTAAGCCAAATTCTACTCAGTTATCTGCTGTAACAGCAGAATTTAGTCCTCTAGATCCATCTCTAGTGGCTCAGTAAGAAATATAAGCAAACCTTTTGAAAGCACTATAATCTTAAAAAATCTCAGCAAAAAGCAACTGTGTCTATGGACACTTACAACATTCTTTACAACACCCTAGTATAAAAGAGACGCCATTATAATTCCACACTGGTCACAATAAGCTGTTAAACAATCATGGGTGCTAAAGAGGTCACAGTGTAGTAAAAAATCCTATATTTAAAGCATTCCTACCTGTGTTACTAAACAGTACTACAGATTTTCTCTCTCCTTTTCAGTTTTACTAGTCTAATTTACTTTTCACTATTAATACGATTTTCTTATTACATCGCCTCAGATTGGAGAGTTAAATTAAGCTGGTCTGTTTCTAATCAATTTTAATTTCTGGTTCTCTTGCGCTAGTACAATTAAGTAGCATCCTGATTTCCAGTACTTCAAGAGAAAATATTTTTGTCTTTAAAAAGCCTGTGTGTGAGGACATTTCTAATATTAATATCAGAAAGTAACCAAGTTTGTGTGTTTCAAAAGGGTTAGTTATTCTACGTCTAATGTAAATGACAGTTCCCCTTTAATTACAGCATAGAAGTCCAATACATACAATTAAGGCCATCCAAATGATTGACCGGCCTTCAGAAAATTTACCAGTGTACCACATGTAGACCATAGCTAACAAGAAAAAAATTCTCAATCTAAAATCTGGTCAATTTTTTATTAAATAAAAAGCGAATTTAACATAGCTGTGGGTAATACACCTGTCCCTGAATTTTCCTGCCAGCTTCTGTCCTTTTACAGTCACATATTGCTCAGTTTCTTTCCCCTACTGTGAGAGACCCATAGGAAATTGACTATTCAGAGGAAAAAGTGAAACTGACCAACTACAAAAATGCTGACAAATTCACAGAACTAACGTTATAGTCCTAAAGTGTACCATGAACACCAACAGGTCAAAAATATTGAGTTTTGCATTTTTAAGTTGACAGTGTCCATTTAAGATAGCCATAACTCAGTATTTGTTTTCAGTCATTTGTTGCAAATAGTTACACCTCAGCAGGCTAGGTACTTGATAGCAGTACTGTGTCACCATTCTCAGGAGCACCACCTTTGACAGGAAAGTACTTCCAAGAAAAAAATTTCACAGCATTAGCCAATCTTCACAGAAATATAAGTTCCCATATGACAGGAGGATAATGGATAAAAGGGTCAAAGCTCGGAGAATAGTGATGGGTCATACCCATTACTGTGCCAAGATAGCAAAAGCTAGTTTCTCAAGCTACAAGCACTTTTCCAAACCTGATCTGTTGGTAAAAAAAAAAAAAACCCACAAAAAAACCCACAACCAACCACTTCTGCAAAGACTCAACTCTCAAAGACAGTATTATAACGAGAAAGGAGAATAAAGTGTGTATCTTAAAAGTTTATTCAATGGAGTGAATGCTTCAAGTGAATCTTTGGCATTTTTAAGACAGATTCAGACAAAGCAAATTTCCTGCAATTTTTTCAACCTGGCATCTTTATAGCTAGATCAACCCAGGAATTGTATTGAAGGAATGGTAAAGCTGAAATGTATACTGACACAAGTCCAAAACTCAAAAGTGAGATTGTCCAAGTCTCCATTGCAACTTCTCTCATCGCTAGCAATGACCTATGGTTTTCTTCCACATCATCCTGATCAAGAACTTGTGTGTCTAGACATCAGGATGCCTTTCGTTGAGATCAAACGATATTGGACAATGGGACAACTTCCTTAGCAAATATTTTACAACATGGGTTAACCAGGATCCAAAATGACAAGTTTCACACTAATAGTAAATTCTCAGTTTACTTGTTTAATTTGGTATTAGTGATTTTTTAATTAAGCTGTTCTGTCATAATACACATGCTTAAGTAGGGAAGTGATTGGGCTAATGTAGAAAAGGGAGAGGGTGATGAGCTTTAACCCCTTGATCCTCAGCTCCCCCTTGCAGAATAATGGGAAAAAAGGAGAGAGAAAAAGAGTCAGTAGTAACTATGTCCTGAATCATGTGAAGTAGGCATAGGTATGTAGTGGAGGAAGGGAGTCACAAAAGGGGTAGATGAAACAGCAAAGGGAGCTGGGTGGACTGATCTTCATTTAGGAAAAGTTAGTAAGCCCAACTTTTAGCAAAACAGCTTTAAATAAATATTGTAACAAATATTTTAGTATCTACAACTCTAAAAGCTCATAATCAGAGTAGATCTATACAAGTGTTAAATATTTCATCTGTATGAATACATACCAGTGCTCTTTGAACGCTATAGATGAAATTACCTTTTAAAGTAGTCTTAACTTGAAAGAAAAAAACAAATGATAAACAACGTTACATACTGTATTCTTCCAGGTGGATGACAAAAAGTGCATATAAGATCCCAGGTATCCGAGTTCCACACAGTGACTGTTTCTTCAAAGCTAACAGCAAGCAAAGAGCCATCTTCTGAGAAACAGCAGTTAGTAGCTGGATAGTTGTGATAGCTGCCCACAAAATCACAGCTCCATCCCATACTTTGTTCTGTTAGATTGAACCATTAATTAATATATCTGTTTATTAATTCTTTCCATATTAAGACTTCTAAATGAAACTGAGCAGCACTTCTGTTAAGATACTATTCAGATTCTCTAAGCAAAATTATTCACATTTGTAAGTAGCAAATTTTTGTAGGGTTTTAAAAAAAATCTTCCCCCTGCCAGCATAGAAAATGCCCAGCAAGTGTTGCATTCTTTAGGTTCTGCACTTGAACCACTAAATTTGACATATCATGGAATTTGCACACTGCAATGTTTTTGTTCAATATGCAAACTACATTAAATGCAACATTAAAAAAAGGGGTTGCTAGAGAGATCTAATTTTAATTCCTGTCACTATACTGAAAGAAGGTCAATATTATTAATGAAAATGTACAGCCTTAAAAAGTATTGGACATTTCAGGCCAAAGATACTTGAGGTTATTTCTAAAAATGTAAATGTCCTTTCCTATACTTGATTTTCACTGAACCAGATTAACACACAGGTAAATTTTAAGCTTCACGCATAATATAGTAACCTGTCAGCAAACTTTCTTGTAAACTGTCAACTTCTTCTGGATCTCTTTCCCATCATTATCAATTACCATAAAAACAAGCAGGAACTTTCCCCTTCCAAGTTGATTTATTCAATGATAAACAAGTAACTAGTTTGGAATTTCCCCAGTTGGTTCCATAGTAACAATATATTCTTTCAATTGATTTTGAAATAAATGGCTGGTGCGGGAAAAGACAGGAAGCAGATAATAAAAGAGAATCTACCCAACATTATTTTGAATGATTCTTTTTCTGCATCTTGTAAGCACAGTATAAAGTAAGATATTCATTACATGTTCTTATTTCTCTTTTGCTTTTACATTGTTTCTTTAGAAGGCAAAGTGCCAAGATATAAAGGGGCAAGATACAAAAATCGGTTTTACTAAAAACAAAAATAAGCCAGTGGGATGTTCTACACATACAATAAATAAATCACTGCACTGTTTTTTGATATACTGTTGCAGGGCAGCTCTTTCCTTCAGTTCCCAGGTATACAAGACCAACTACACAATGCAAATTCACAAAGACAGATCAGCTGTATACGCCCATGCATGCCCTGACACTGAACTCTATACAGCCCTTGTATGCAAGTAGGATGCAAAAGCAAGAGGGACTTGTTCAGTGGATTCAAAACACTTCCATGGTGGGGGCAGGAAGAACCATTAAACCCCATCCACACCTCTCCACTTCATACCATTAGTACTGGCTGCAGCCTGGCTGTGCAGTTAGTTAGGAATGGAGACAAGTCAGGGCAGTAGGAACCTATTCCCTCCAACACAGTTTCTAAGAGCAAAGAGTGTTTACTCATGGAACTGGGATTTAGTTTAGGATTAAGGTTATTTAACCCTAGAAAACACTTTGTTTATCTCCACCTCAGCATATGTAGGCATTGTACAAGAGCTAAATCCAGTGGCTCAGAGAAATTCACTATGGCAAACAGAAAACTAGCAAAAAGAAAAAGGGTATTAGAAAAAATTTCTATTTATCTATGACAATTAAAACAAAATGAACACAACCAAACTGCAAGCGGATCGCTGAAAGGCTGCTGTCAAAAAATATATTTGAGAACCTGTGAAGATTGATACACCAATGTCAGGAAAGTTAGTCAAAATGAAATGTGCCAGGAAGTGCATTAATGGGGAGCCCCATATATCTGTGGGCTGGAAGGGCTATGGCATGTTACATATCCTTGTGAAGTCCTTAGCTTTTATTACTTTGTGTTACAAAGAGTCTCAACATGATTTTTGGTGGGTGAAGGGACTTCAATTTTCATTTCTCATCTATGCAATCCACAGAATTATGTTCTGTCTGCATTTTAGGATTTACAGCAAAGTAAAGGTTGGGCTGTAGTCACTCATGAGCAGAGGATGGAGGTCACTGTTCCCTTTCCAGACTACTGTATCCCTTTCAGGAGTCTGATCTGTCTTGTGTACCCCCAAGTTTCACCTCACTTAAAAACTACTTGCTTACAAAATCAGACATAAAAATACAAAAAGCGTAACAGTGCACTATTACTGAAAAATTGCTTTCTCGTTTTGTCTTTATGAAATTTTAGTTTGTACTGACTTGGCTAGTGCTTTTTATGTAGCCTGTTGTAAAATTAGGCAAATATCTAGATGAGTTGATGTACCCCCGGAAGACCTATGCATACCGCTGGTTGAGAACAACTAGTGTAGGGTTTAGGCTAGAGGGATCTATGCATTCGTGTCCCTACCACACCCCCAACTTGCCTACATTCCTAACTATGGGAAATGATGCTAAAGGGTGATGGAACTCTGTACTAGGATGCACAGAAGAGAATGCATTACTTCTGTTGTGTTTCTGATCCTGTGCACTTGCGTATGGATGGAGAAGAGCCGAGTCACAATTTCCATGTGTTCAACAGGTGGTGAATAAGAACAAATTACGTATTGGCCATACTCACTCTCTGAGTCAGAGTCATCCACCAACACCCAGACTTTAAATCGACCATCGTTGCCAGCTGTTACCAAGGTAGGAGTTCCATCTTCCAATTCATCTGTGTCACGGAAACACAGAGCTGTTACATGATCCTCATGTGGATTGTTTATTCTGGTGTTCAGAGTAAAGCTATAGGGAAGAAAACCTAAATTCACTGTTTTATGTCATTTTGAACTTGCAACAGGTTTGTGTTCTGTTTCTTTTGTGGGGGACAGGACAGGGGTGGAGGAAGGGAGGTAGGAGGATGGCGGTTTGGGAAAGGGAGATGTGGTTTGAAGAGAATTTTGTTACCAGCCAATACATAATCTCACATTTAGTTTACCAGGTCTGTTCTCCCTCATTTCCCCCACAAAATTAAGTAATTCGGAGAACAGAATTCTGATTTATTTAGATTTTTAAGACATACCTACTAGAAGTGCTCCTCCTAAGCTCTGGGCACCCCTTCTAATAGCTAGCACTTGATCAACATGGAAAATGATTATTACATAGAAACATTTAAATTTCACTTTTAAACTCCAATCCCATAACTATTGTGCCAAACAACTTTGTGTAACATCTATCCAGTCTCCTCCTAAATAAGCAAGAAAAAAAGTGAACTTTATGGGTGTCCAGAAGATTAACAAATCCAGGCCCTGGAAGACCAGGTAAGTATTAGCATTGGGGTACTGTTTCAAGGTTTTACATATTCATCAGTACAGTATATCTGGCCAGATAATATAGTAGATTAGAACGACAAAACAGATTCAAGAAGGTGGTATTAACATGTAAAGAAACCAGACTGCTACTGGAATATAAAATGTTTAGACTGTTAATTTCAAGAACTACAACTCAAGTAAGTGCGACTGACAATTCATATGTGAGAGTGCTATTTAAATGTAGACACTATATTCATTTGCACAATATTTAACAAGAAGTCAAATATTTTGTGGTTACCCAGGGGCTGACTATAGAAGTATCAGTACCTTTGTGTTTGCTCATCATAGTTCCACAGTTTCATCTGTAATTCAAGTTCGGTTTCTTTTTCTTCTCGCTGTTCCACTGTCGCTAACCAGCTGCCTTGAGCACTAAATGCAACCTTCACCAAGTCAACCTGGTTTAGACCTATTTGATGGATGTATTCCTGCTGCACGATATCGAGCTGGAGAGTCACAAGAGCAAAACTAATTTTAAAGCTCAAGTGAGAGTTTGGAGAAGTCAGTCATGGAAAAAGGACCCCACGGAAGGAAAGATGTTCTGGAAATTATCAGGACCATTGAAAACTAGATGAAATACTGAACAGTGGAACTGATTGCCAATACATGGGCCTTAATACATGAAAAATGCCTGCAAAAACCATGTAGATTCCACAATACAGAAGATGTGGCAACACACCAAAATACACTTTGATTTCGATATTTAGCTTATAAAGGCACCAATGACCATTGTGTAAGGCATTTTCTGTAGATTCTGACAATCTTATTCTTCTTACATTCACTTCCAAGTTGTCCATCACCATAAGAATTGTGATTAGTATTCCAAGGCATAACTAAGGAATCAATTCAAAATCTTCAAATCCTATTATGTTTATATATTACAACCATTTGTACTTCTGTAATATCCTTGCCAAATTACAGCTCTGCAAGTCAAGGCACAGATAAGCGATTTTACTACGGTCACAGAGAAGGTCTGTGACACAGCTCTACTGATTCCAATCTTATGCTATAACCATTGAACTACTCCCCCTTACCTACATCATATTGCAAGTGTAATTCTGTCACATAAGTATATAACTTACAGCAGCAGTCTATCCAACTTACATTGTACAACTGTTTGTCAGTTTGGAGACAATAGAACTGCAGATGACCAGGTTTTCCATTCAGAACCAAAGCTTTAGTTCTAGGATCAACCACCAAACCAGTCTTGACATCACTGCCTGCAGTGAAGAGCAACAGCAAATGATCGAAGTTAGAAAGTGATGTCTTTAGCTATCTAAGCAGAAGAAAAGTTGTTTTACTGCACGTACCTTTGACTAATCCTTGAATTACGGCAGAAACGCTCAGGTTGCTATGTATGATTGTTATTTCTGAATGTATAAATACATACAAATTAGCAAGGCAAGGTAAAGACTTATGTGATGTAAAAAGCAACAGTTAGCAATATTCTACAACTGGAAAAATCAGGATATGCACCCACCCAAAATTCAACTTTAAGAAGTCATTCTACTACTTAATGAACTACAAATGCAACATATATATGTGCACTAAACATTAGATTGAAAATCACATGGAAAGTCATCAGCACAAGAATGTCTGAAACAAGAGAGAAAAAGTACCAGCTTATCAGAATCTTTGGGTCTAAGTTACAAGCTTCCACAATCTGTAAACAAAATCCAACTGTTGCTAGCATAGGAAATAAAAGATCAAACATCTACGCTTTCAGATGAGATTTGAACTTGTGTACAATACCAAAACAGTGAATCTTAAATTCATATATTCTAATAAATCTATGGCTCATGAATTCCTTATGGAATTAATACTATTACAATAGGTTTGGGCTTACTGTTTTCTGTGTGAGAGGTACAATAGAAAGTTCCATCCGGTGAGGCTGAGATGTGTTCAATAGTAGATCCCAAACGGGGCAGGAATTCCTTCTTACAATCTGATCCATCACGCCACTGAACCAGTACAGACTCAACCCCACCACTCAGCAGGCTGGTGCCTTCACATGCAATAAAAAGCCCATAGTAGGTAGAGGAACCATTCCAAACGGACACATCTATATATTTCTAGTGCGCTAGTTACTACGGTATCTAGACACCAATTGTATATTTAAATTACGTCCCAAGCAAAAAATTATACATCACTGCTACACAGACTGATCAAATGGCTCAAATCTCTTAACATGTCCGTCTGATCTCTCAGACTCAATAAGACAAACACTGCTACTGCAAGCATCAAAATGTCACTTAATAAATCCTCTCTCAGGAACAGCTAATTTCATTCATTTCTTGGAAGAGTCAACTATATTTTGTGTTACAACACAGCGGAAATTCTCTATTTAATATTAAATACTGCAAAATGCTTCCCGCTTGGGAGAAAAGGCTCGAAGCAAGATCAATACTGCGGGGCTGAGTCATGTTCACACTAAAGTTAACAAGAGTTTTTCCACTAAATTCAAAGGAAGTAAAGCGTGGGCCCAGATAAGATTTCTTTGGCTTGTTTTTTAAATTTGGATTTGACTCCAATAAGAACTTAGGTTTCCCCATCTCCTCAGAAGATGGATTGTTGCTTAATAAAGATGACAGCTGGTTCAGGATTTACATTGCCAAAGAAGGAAAATCTTTGAAGTCATGTCTGCCAGCCAAAATAGTGGCATGAAAACATGCTTACACATCTGATTTCCTTGCTTTTTTGTAACAAGTATACAGCTGTGCACACAAAAAAGCCACAACTGCTTCCATCTTTCCATTACTCCATCCAAAAAGCCCTCAAAAAACGTTTCCTGAAGACATAAATCCATTCCTAGAATTTAAATATTTGTTCGTAGGTGGATGACTCCAAACTTCAGCAGTTTCTTTTTTCTTCCTGCACTTTAAGACATTTGCACTCACCCTCTACAGAGAAAGCTAGATCCATCACTACATCATGGTGCCAGTGCAGTGTGGAGAAAGTGTATTCTCTTTTGTGGTTAAAATTTCTCCTGTTCGGAAGAAAACATTTAATTTAGTAGCAGAATAGGTGTTGGAGAGAATAATCTGTAAGCAAACAAAAATGGGCATGCCAAATGGAATAAAATGTAAAATAAGTATACTAACATCTACTGTAACCCTTGCAATGTGGGTTTCTTGTATGTTCAGGTGACGGAAAGGGAGTGGCACAGACTGCAGGTGTCCAGGTGTCCCCAGCTGGCATAAGATCCCTAGGGAATTATTGCCAGCTTGGGCAAGACCAATCCCTGATCTGGAGCACTGAAGCAGAGCTGTTACTGGCTGCTAGTTCTCAAATTCTCTTTTCCATCTGTCCTGGGCGGCTGTGTAAGGGAGAAGAGCTAGCCTCTCCACTAGTCACTGACTGGCTTTGTCTGAATATAAACTCCCATCGTGCTTTCACTGGGGTTCCCAAAACCTGGTACAAAAGTCTCTTATCTCCACCCACAGCAGTAGGCCGAATTCAAACACTTCAGTTTTAAAGTCGCAGGGTGCAGCTAAGGGGACATTTTCAATTTGTGATCATATGCAAATTAGATAGCCTTGAGGTCAGTCATAATTTAGAGCTTCGAGGGCCACAGGATGGCTATCCTCAATATCTCCTTATAATCATTTCTACAGGAGCCACTTCTGACTATGGCAAGGGAGGATGCTAGATCCAGTTAGAGAATTATGTCAATGCCTGATCACCACTGTCAAGCAGAAAGTCCTATGCCTACTCTCATGACTCATTATGTTCAAGTTCTATTATTAGAATGTCAAATCAATGCTAGCTGGATAGCTGTCAAGTTTAACATACCAGAGACGAATCTTGCCATCTTTATGTCCACTTGCTATACAGTCTTCCTTAGGGTGACAGGCTACACAAGTGAAATAGTTGTTTGCGCCTTTTCTACTTGTTGCACTTAAAGGAAACCTTCAAAAATTAAAGAGTCGTTTTAATTAGAGTTCAACGTTAGATGAAGCTTCTCAATGGTCTTCATATGTAGTCTACCTGCAGCTGGGGCTATGTCAAAAAAGATTAGCGCAATCACTGCACAAATGCAAATTAAAAGATACTTCTGACTGCACATGGGATTCCAAGGAGTGAGCAACTGGTTGAGAGTACTCCTGAACTACAAGAAAGTTGACAAAAGTTAGGCACTCCCCTGCCAAGAAAAGGACAGACACCATCCCCACTTAGCTTGCTAGATTCTTCTCCCTCAACAAAGCACTAGCATCTAAATCTCATCAGGACCTTACACAAAACATCCTAATTTAAGTCCCTGTTTCAATCCAGCAATAGAAAAGTGATGACACTATAGTCTGGGCTAGGCTAAGAGTTGCTTGGCATCCCACCAATCAGTGATGGCACTGCAGTCCAAACTGCCTCCGTTTCCCCCCAGCAGCCTGAGACACACATTGAACAAGGGGGGCTGCCAGAAGAGAATTTTGGAGAATCTCTAAAGAAAGAATCTGCCAGATGGATAAGCAGTTACTCAGCATCACTTGCTTGGATTTCAGAAATAAAAACGAAGTCATTCATGAGGAATCCCATTTACCCATGCAATGATCTACAGTTGAATCAATGGCATCAAAGGATGCTGATGTATGCAGATTATTTTAGCTCCAGCTGACTTGTTACTATACAGATACATATTTATGAGGTTTCATAGCTGACAACAACATCTACAGCTGTTCGTCTTACCTGTTAACCTTTTTCTTTTTGAAAAAATAAACAAGGAGATGAAGGCCACGCACTGATGCCACATATTCACCCTGTTACAGCAATACAGCAAGTTAGGACTTTGTATTTGATATAGATTCACATTGAAACTGGAGCACAACAAATGGGCCTTTGATCATGTTTCTTAAACAGGTCTGTATCATGAAAAAACGGTACCAAGATAGAGACACAAGATGCCATTACCCTAATCAATGACAGTTGCTTGCTTGCAATGAGATGTTACTGCTCCACATTTTAATACAGCTAATATAAGCTCATGCAACCTAAAAGATTTTTTCAGATTTTTTAAAACTTGCTTTCTCTATAACAACCTCCAAGAAGCAACTCAATATTTCCCCCACCTACTGGGACAAGCTTTGCACTGAGTTATAGCCATGCAATCCCAGAGAAGTATGCACGGGTAAAGTAATGTGTGGAATCTCTTGTTATGTGCACATTGTAAGGTTGCATATGAATGGTTGCTTGGGATACTGGCACAAATTCTTTTTTCATATAGAAAAATAGTTTAGTGCTATTCGTTAAAAATCCAAGAATTCCATGAATTTTATACCAGAACCAGGAGCTCTTACTTAATTTTGTCCCGGAACAAACAGATGAAAACACAAATATTGGATTTCCAGTCATAATCCCTCCTATCTTTAGGTAAAATATAAAAAATACTCCTAAACTTCTGTAGCACCTGTCCTGCTCTATAAAAGCAAAGGATCCATTAGGGTACACAGGATTTTAAACATGACTAAGAACAGCATCTCCTTATACAACACATCTAGTCCAGGTGACTAGGGAGTACAGTTAAAGCTTATTTCTGTCACTAGTTATACTCCTGTTGGCACTGAAGAGAGTCGATTCTTTTTTTATTTCACATACGAAAAATCAGCTAAGTTCTAACTGCATAATATTTACTACCGGTGGCAATGCATAACCTAAGGGAACACCCCTGTCCTCAAATAGCTTCTCTTTTATATTTCAAGCTCACCTTGTAAGCTAGCTGTTTGGGAACCTTCCCCCTGCCCCCCACAAAAAACCTAAACAAAACAGTTTTTTAAAATGTAAATTTATATCTGAGCTGGGAGTAACAAACAGGGAACTCCACAATGTTATTTTTACAGTCATTTTTTAGAGTACAAATGCACTGTTAGCTCATCTTTTTGTGCATCAGAGTTAAAAAAAATTAGGGTAGAAACCAACATTAATTCTTTTGATTTGTGTGTTCCCATTTTCCCCAGAGGACAGGTGCTCTTTTTGGTATATATTTTAAATTTTAAGAGAGAAGGGATGTAGCTTAATGAATTCAGAGTTATTTAGTTACCTCACTTTTGCTAGTGCTCTGAGACAAATAAAGTTGGTCATCTAATCAGAGCCTTTTGATCTTTACCATCTTACTTTTTCTTTAACACTAAGTCTGAAAGAGCCAAAATTTTGCAAACAGACAAGAAAAATAAGGCAGATAATATTCTGGGTCCAACATGTTGAACACAATTTTCAATTAACATTTACCACACAAAAAAGCCGTCAAGGCCAAAGTGTATTGTCTGCCTAGTACAAGAATGGTAATTCTCTTCTTTCTAAAGAAAGGGGTATTTTACTGGATTAAGAGCTTGAAATTCTGCAATTTTCCTTCATTTTTTCCCTAATGCAATGAAGTTGTGTTGTAGGACATACTTTTGCAACTCATCAGCAATCCTGGTCTTATTATATTTTTATGAAATTATAAAGAATAGATGTTGCTGGATGTCAAATTTGTTGAGGCAAGCTTTCTGAGATCAGTGGTTTGCAATTAAGGGGAAAAGTCAGGATTCACACTAGGCTCACATAGCAAGGACACACCCATACAATCATTACTTCTTTGAGCGATCAGATTACTTGGTTAATCATATTTTTTTATATACCAGACTAAACAGAATGTGGTTAATACATTTTATATAAAAGAAAAACATCTAAAAAGGTAAATATACTTCTCTTCCAAACGCAGTACATTTGGGCGACTGGCCTATATCATCCAAAATCAAAGACAGCTCCTTGGCTTCCACTTCTTGGTCTGGTGTTTTTGGTAGTTTCACAGAAACAAGCTGGAACGAATCTAGTCAAATAAAGACTTTGGTTAATAAAATAATTTTGTGGATGATGTGTGTTCAAAAGGAGAGAATGTGGGTGCACCTGTTATCCTCACTATAAAATCCACACTAGCTCCTTTCAGTGTTGTTTTGAATGCATGCTTAAAGATGTATACTTAAGGCTGACACCTTTATATTTTGGTCTCAGATGTTTCTGTGCCAAACTGCAACACAGACAGATGAGCTCTAGATTTTTCCATAGTGGTTTCCTGTGTAACATAAAGCAGAAACCAAACCAAATTACATAGATTTGTTCTTCCTCTTGTTAAAGAAAATAAAGTATCTGACTTTACTGTAGCCAAACAAAGAGTGAGAACTATGTTATTCTCCGACACTCTGAAGTGGCATTCATAGGAGTATTATACAAGTCATATATCATATCTGTTTTCTCAGGCTTTGAATAGCTGAATTCATGCTGATACTAGAACTGGTCCAATTTTTTCCATCATCGTGTTTTTTCAATTTGAAAATGCCCATTTGTTGAAACAAACTTTCTGCAGAAACAGAGCAGAGCAAGAGTCTTCCATATCCCAGGCGAGTTGCGACTGGCTATGCGGGCATGAAAATTTTTGAAGAGTTTAAATTTTGTTCTGATGCAAAACAAAAATGGAAACCTCTAAGTTTTCCACAAAACAAAGTTCTTGTTTTCTTGCAAGCCTTAACTGATACTTGTTATTGAAGAGATGTAGCTTTTAATATGGTAACATGACCTCAGGATACACTTAGCAGTTTAAATATAGGTCAAGAGACTCAATTATGTCTGCCATAACATTAAGTATGTATAGCACAAGGGTCTGTAAGTTTAAGACTAAACTTTGATACAATCAAAATCCAAAAAATGAAAATACTAAATTGCACATTAACAATTACCATAGTTTCAACAAGAAACAAAACGCTAGGTGTACAGCAATAGTTATTTTACCTATTTAAAGGACACTTTCAAGATAACTTTTAAAAAACACTTTTCCTACAATATGTAGTTTGCTAATAAGGCTGTAGATTATTAAGAGTGAAAATGTACACCGATTAATTCACTCTCCACCTCCTGTGCTGTTGGTACACTTTTTACATTTCATTCAGTATGGACAGTGAAACCAAACCAGAAAGGTTCTGGTCAAATGCACCAACACAGTATTGTTGTGTTTGGGGTCTACGTTATACCAATGGAAGGGTTAAATAAAACTTCGCATTTCCACAGGATTAATCAGACTTGTAAATCTTTCTTTTGTGTCCCCCCCCCGGAACAAAAATTACAAAACAATGTTTGGGCCTAAACTAAGTTATCAGAGTCCCTTTAAACATTCCAGCATACTTAATATCACACTGCAACAAAGTACAAACTGAAGTTAATTATATCGTACCTAAGGAATCTTCATTTTTCTTTGGAATTATAATGAACACTGAATCCTCAGAACCAGCAAGCGTATAGAATGCAAAAAGTTTGTATCCAACAACAAAAGTCTGAAGAAAAAAACCAACAAAGTAGTTATGAAATGTGAACTTCAAATTAGCTGGACAGTTATCAATTATTCTGAAGTTCTCGTACAGTCAGACAGTGAACAATTTACAACCTAGTCAGAGATTCTTTTTATCATGGCCCTTGTAGATTTTTAAAAAATGTTTGCTAAAAGCTTGTAGTCGATCATTCTCAATTTAAAGTCAAAAGAAAAAAAGCATTCTTTTGGTTGGTAACCCTATTACAGAACAAAAGACTTATGTCAGTCTTGTTTAGCAGTATTTGTATAGTGTGAAATGCCAAATTTACTGGGAAGGCTAAAGGTAACATCCTACCCTCTGCTATGTGGTGGGATGGAAGAACTATGTAGGAAGCCTATTCTTCTTCCACCTTCCAAGGCAGGAGTTCTCCTCAGCTCAGGAGAAGTAGGATAGAGCTGGCCGTCACAGCAGCCCACAGACATCTCCAAGGGGACACATTCAGCACCTAGTCTGACATCAATAACTACAACATGTGTTCTAAATGCTACCTTAAACACTTATTGTTCCTGCTCAGATGAGTGGCAAAGTACATCTCAGCACCCATCCCACAATACACATCTGTCTGCATCTTTTTACAGCTGCCCTTATTCAAGCTTTGGTCCCAAGGCAGTTTATATGCAGTGGAACAGCAGCCCTCAAACTGTCATCCTTGGATCAAAGGTAGCTTGTAAAGCCCTTCTTGGCTACCCTCAGAAATAAACATTTTGATAAGTAAGCAGTCGGGGAATTGGAATATTATGAGGAGACGTGGCTCATGAGAGAAGCCATCCCATACGAAGTGGTCTGTAAAATGAAAAAAATAAGGTATAATGTCAATTATCTGAAAGTCATCCTCACCCCCAGTGAGACAGGGAAAAGACATGCAAACTCTCTGGGAAGCCAGATAGTCGAAGACAGAGAGAGGAGCTGCCTGAGCCAATCAACTAGCTAAAATAAGGAAGGGAGAACAGAAGAGCTACACTGAGCACAAAAAAAATCACAGATATCTTTGTGCATATAACTCTTCCTCCCTCCTTTCTTAAAGGCTACCAATACTGGGAAAAAGTCTGGATAGCTTCTCTCCTATGCTTCATTTTCACACAATTGTGCAGTAAGTCTCAAGTAACTTCTTGAGGACCTTCTGATAAGCCTGGTTTTAATGTACTGAATATTTAAGAAGGGACTGCATGCTTAATTAGCAAAGGGTCATCAAAAATGACCACAGCTAGGGGTCAGCAAATTTCTCCTGCCCTAAGTGAGAGGCCTGCTCAGGGACAAAATACAAACCATATTAACAAACACTGCTTTTGAAGCCAGGGTTTATGCTCATCTCCACTAAAAGCTTCAGAGAGCCTGAATTTGGCCCTATATGTTTTGTTCAGCCCTAGTATTCATTTAACTGATGGTCAACAGTGAACAACTCTGGAATCCATGAAAAGTTGTGACAGAAAAAAATATTTACATACTTTAATGAGAATTCCATCTGTGAAGTCCCAGAGTTTAATGGTGCCATCTAGAGAGCAAGAATACAGCTGGAAAAGAAAAATAAAACAAGTTACGAAAAGAACACAAATAGCAAAGCAAAACACTAGGACCAAGATTTTACACAAAATTAGACCCTCAAGTTAGGCTCTTAAATCCATATTTGGTCACCTAAGTGACTGGATTTTTAAAAAGTGCTAAGCACCAAGTTCCACACACTTTTGAGATATGCGGTTTGAGATCATGTGTGTTCCTATTTTGTATATGAACATCATATTAAAGTTACCTAGCATGTGAATGTTTATATACATTTACAATGCGTGTGCAGGGATGACAGATGCACAGAACTTCAGGAAATAGATTCAGACCCCTTCTACAAGTGGGCCCAGACTTTATGCACAGCAAAGAAAAAGCCAAACAGAACCAACTCAATTTTTCTTCTTCAGATACATATTCTAACTCAAAGTTAAAGCTGAAAATTTAAGTATTCCCCACTCATTTCTCCCAACCCCCACAAGATAAAAATCTCACACTTAGAGGATGCACAGGCAAAACTTAAATTGATGCCATCAGCTGAATTACTGTGTACCCTCAAATTTCTCATTTGATTGCTACAGATAGTGTAGTAGGAAGGAAAGGTCAGAATTAACTCAAATATTTAAGGTGCTGTTGGTAATACAAATATATTCCCCATCTTCCATGTTTTGAAAGAGATCACGCACACTTACAGTTATAGTAGGTAGGTGTGTACATGGGGAGAGGCATGTGTAATGAGGACAAAAGTTATTAGGGTTACCAATATTTATGCATAAGGGCATAACACAAACACCAGCTGAGATCAGGAATAAGTTTCTCCACAGTATAGTTGCACATTTGGGTTCACTGTAAGTGCTATGGGCCACTCATTCCTGTGCCAATGCAGAGCCCGACATTTGAGAGGTTGATTAGGTAATCCTTAAAGCCATGTACTGATTACCATACCCCCCTGGGAAATAACCGGGATTTAGCCATGCCTGCTCGTACTCCAGACATAAACCTGGCATGTCTCCTGCACCCGGGTATGCCTTATAGCTGTTTTAAGAGTCTTTTCCCCATATAGCTGGCACAGAGTGGGCCACAAGGCACTGATGAATCAGGTCCTACATGTCCTACTGCTGAAGAGCCTAGTATTGGCAATAGTCAAAGACAGACAAATACTAGATTAAAGGAACCATTGTTGGGTTGTTCCAGTATAGAATTTTGTGAAGTGACCCGACACAAAAACTGTCCACCTCTGCTTTTAGAAAAAGCTTCCCACTCAGTAAATTAGAGTAATCTGATGGTTTACAGCAACAAATTCATACACTAATATGGGTAATTGCAATTTCAGTCTAAGTAAACAGAAGCTAGTTCAGTAATTGTTATAAGAAATAATTATTTCCAGCCGTCTCTCACTTTCCAGCCACCCCAAAAACACATGACTGTGTGTCCTGTACTGCCAAAGTCAAGTACCATTTCCTTAACTAAATCAAGAAAGAACCAAATGCCTAGCTGGACAGGACTCACAATTACAAAGATTTAACAACCTGCATGTGGTTTTGGGGGTTAAGTTGAATTCCTGTCACCAGGTTTGTGTGACCCTGCAGGATGTGTACACATTCTTCTGTAGCCGTGCTATACACTTTCACATAGTCTCCTGAGGCACATAAAAGGTATCTGAAAAGATGATGAAACAAAAGGTTAATATCACAGGGTGACTGAGAATTCTGGATAAAGGTATTACACTTCATGTTTAGTACTTTGTAGATTCAAAGTAGTTGTTACTCTTGATAAACATAAAAAATGTAGGCCAGCATCAAAGAGATGACTCCATATTTGGAACTTTGTTTTCCATGGTTTGTACAGATTTACTTACTTCACCATTAAATGTAATGGAAGAACAAACAAGTATATCAGATTTAAACATGCAGTTGCAAAGGCAGGAAAGTTACTTTTATGTATTTTAGTTCTTGCTAAAGGTGCTGATGGCTTGATCACCTCGAAAAATAAAGGCCTGTATTGATCAGCATAACAAATAAAACATTCATGATGCTACTTACACCTCTCCATACTACATATAAAATATCTATCTCCTCCTTTCATAACATCAGTATCTGCTACATTTATAGGACTCTGCCTGGAAATGCTCTCAATTTTGGCCAAACAATAAAGATCAGCTAATTTTTTCCCAAACCTCAAGTTCCTAAGGCTATGTCTACACTACCGCAGCAAGTCGACCTACGCTGCGCAACTCCAGCTATGTGAATAACGTAGCTGGAGTCGACGTACCTTAGGTTGAGTTACCGCAGGGTCTATACCGTGCGCAGGTAGGGGTGTGTGTGTGTCAGTCAGTCAATGGGAGAAACTCTCCCATCAACTTACCTTACTCTTCTCAACAGGGGTAGAGTACAGGGATCAACTGGTGAGCGATCCGCTGTCAATTTGGAGGGTCTTCACTAGACCCGCTAAATCGACCGCCAGTGGATCGATCTCAGAGTGTCAATCCGGGCTGTAATGTAGACCTTCCCTAAGACTCAAGCACCTTCTCAGCACTCCTATTTTATAGGTTTTAAAAAAACAACGTACCAAAACAAAAATGAGAAATTCCTATAAAGAATTGAAGATAAGTATCAGAGGGAGGGAATTCTTAGGTTCCCTGTGAAACTTCAGCATGCTGCAGCTAACCTACTCTCTAATGGTCCATGAATTTTCTTTTGATATCTTCACTGGTTCCTTAGTTATCTCCAACTCCAATTCAAAATTGCCCTACTGATGTTCAAAGCCATGCATGCCACTCTTCTGTTTATCTACTCTCTGCACACCTTCATGCCACTCTTCACAGCTGCAGAAGACTCTACTTCACTTACACTGTTCCATCCCTCACTTCTGAAACAAGTCTGTTTTAAATCTCTCCTTAGCCCCCACCACCCTTTGTTTTTTTGCAGCCCGGAATACTAACAATTAAGTGTCACGCCACGCTAAAAATAGGAAATTTAGCCAAACAGACAAGTTTAAAACAACATGTGCCTACATGTTTAAGATTATGTTTTGCTCTCCAGCCCTTGATTATGGGCTGCCAAAGACAGCATACTCAGCTAAGGAGGGTGAAGAGAAGAATGGTTCTGGAATGGACAGTCCCATGACTACACTGCAAAATAACTCTGCTTAAATATGGTTATGGACAAAACCTTTTCTTTTTGCGGATACAGACTAACACGGCTGCTACTCTGAAATTTATAACATGGTTTATTCATGTCTGTGTAGACACACAAAAAACAGGCTAGAGAATCCGGCTTTAATACTATCTCTCCCACCCCCCAGTATATACCCTACTGTAGAATAAATATGAAATTAAAGTTATCTTTTAATCTGGTTAAAGAAATGTGCATGTTGTAAAGCAAGAGCCTGACTAGCAAGTAGGGCAGAAGGAATGGAGCAGGGAGGATGTCTGGTTCAAAGACTAAATTAATGAGATAAAGGAAAGTTTCTAAAAAAAAAAGGCTCCTGACCAACAGCGGTGACAGCAAATGGTTTTGAATAGGACAGAAAGAATCTGTCTTAGAGGAAACATGGACCTCCCCATCCCACATACCAATGTTATCTTAAAAGTAAAGCCTAAGTGAACCCAGGTGCAATGAAAAACCAGTTGGTCAGCAAGAAGGAGGGTAGAGATAGGGAGGATAGGCCTTGGGGATAAAAGGAAGTTGTAAATCTTATCTGGATTAAGACTTGAAATAAGGGTGAAGTGTCTCAAATTGGTATTTAGCTGAAGTCAGTAATTGGCAATGACATCACTTGTTTGTTAAAGGGTGTAAAAAGTAAACTTTTAAAGGGTTCACTGCTAATACCTGCCTGACCACGTTGGAGCTAATATGGGTCTAAGAACCCCTGGGTTTAATCTGTTTGTCAGTATCTTGATCAAATGCTTATAAAGGTTTTGTTATTGTTTGGATGTAGTAAACTGCTTATTATTTAGGCGTTTGAGGCATGTTTAGAGCTACTGTATAAATATAACTCAGCCTTTGGATTTAATAAAGGAATTTATAGTTAAATTAGTGTCATGACAACATCCTGAATAAATAATAATAATTTCAACACCTAGGTTAAAGCCTCATCTACACCAGGGTTCATTTACTCTGGAGAATTAACCTTTGGGTAATTCAAACATGAATATTGAATGCAGGCAATTAATATGTTACAGTGTCCCCACATTCACTCCTATTTCACTTGCAGTTATCCCCACATCCAGATACAGAAATGCAAGTTAATTGCTCACTGTGGAAAAGTGGTGAGAGGACTCACTGAAGCGCATGAGCTAGTTTGCTACTGCCTCTTGCCTACACAGCACTTTCAGGAACATAACTGCAACGTTAAGGGAGGAGTTACTGTACATTCAAAAACAACGAGAAGTCCTTGTGGCACCTTAGAGACTAACAAATTTATTTGGGCATAAGCGTTCGTGAGCTAAAACCTACTTCATCAGATGGAGTGAAAAATACAGAAAGCAGGTATATATATTGCAGCACATGAAATGAGCCAATTCAATTAAGGTGGAAGTGGCCTATTCTCAACAGTTGACAAGAAGGGGTGAATACCAAGGGAGGAAAAATTATTTTTGTAGTGACCCATCCACTCCCAATCTTTATTTAGGCCTAATTTGATGATGTCCAGTTTGCAAATTAATTCTAGTTCTGCAGTTTCTTGTTGGAGTCTGTTTTTGACTTTTTTTGTTGAATAACTGCCACTAATAAGTGTCCAGGGAGATTGAAGTGTTCTTCTACTGGTTTTTGAATGTTACAATTATTGATGTCTGATTTGTGTCCATTTATTCTTTTGCGTAGAGACTGTCCGGTTTGGCCAATGTACATGGCAGAGGGACATTGCTGGCACATGATGACATATATCACATTGGTAGATGTGCAGGTGAACGAGTCCGTTATGGTGTGGCTGATGTGGTCAGGTCCTATGATGGTGTCCCTTGAATAGATATGCAGACAGAGTTGGCAACAGGGTTTGTTGCATGTATTGCTTGGTTCCTGGGTTAGTGTTTTTGTTGTGTGGCATGTAGTTGCTGGTGAGTATTGCTTCAGGTTGGTGGGCTGTCTGTAAGCGAGGACTGGCCTGTCTCCCAAGATCTGTGATAGTTAGGGATCGTCCTTCAGGATAGATTTTAGATCCTTGATGCGCTGGAGAGGTTTTAGTTGGGGGCTGTAGGTGACGGCTAGTGGCATTCTGTTACTTTCTTTGTTGGGCCTGGCCTGTAGTAGGTGACTTCTGGGTACCCTTCTGGCTTTGTCAATCTCTTTCTTCACTTCACGAGGTGGGTACTGTAATTTTAAGAACGCTTGATAGAGATCCTGTAGGTGTTTGTCTCTCTCTGAGGGATTGGAGCAAATGCAGTTGTATCTTAGAGCCTGGCTGTAGACAATGGATCGTTTGATGTGGTCTGGATGAAAGCGGGAGGAATGTCGGTAAGTATAGCGGTCAGTAGGTTTCCGGTATAGGGTGGTGTTTATGTGACCATTGCTTATTTGCACTGTAGTGTCCATTGGCCTTGTTAGCACTACAAAAGTAATTTTCCTCCTTTGATAGTCACCCCTTCTTGTCAACTGTTGAGAATAGGCCACTTCCACCTTAATTGAATTAGCTTCGTTAGCACTGACCCCCCCCCCCCACTTGGTAAGGCAACTCCCATCTTTTCATGTGCTGTAATATATATACCTGCTTTCTGTATTTTTCACTCAATGCATCTGATGAAGTGGGTTTTAGTCCACGAAAGCTTATGCCCAAATAAATTTGTTAGTCTCTAAGGTGCCACAAGGACTCCTCCTTGTTTTTGCTGATACAGACTAACATGACTACCACTTTAAAAACTGTACATTCAAAGTTATCCACACACTATTTATGCACCACTCATCCTGAGCCATGTCAAGCCATGCACCAACAGGCCACCTCCAGTTTTTCACCAGTAATGGGAGGATTTAATTACTTTCTACCCCCCTCAGTCTAATGCTTTACCTTGATGTGCTATTTTGGAGTATCTTTCCCTACTAACTTTTACAAGTGCTTTGAAAGTCTCTGACTGTGAGTACTAGACAAGTGCAAGGTACTGCTATATGTCCCCTGCTATCCCTTACCAGGACCCCCTGTATCACTCCTACATCCAGCCAGCTGCACCCCTCCTAGTTCCTGCTCATTTTTCCCTTCCCATCACATGCGCTGAGGATGGAGGTGGTGACCAGCCGGTGGCTGAGTTGCCATCTGAGAAATTTCAGCATTTCAAAATTTGGCTTTATTACCAACTAGCCTGAATCCCACGTGATGGAAATTTCTCATGAATAAGAACTTGGCCCGAAAAACCCTGGCAGGGCGGGGCTCCCCGGAGCTAAGGACCCCCAGCCTGGCTCCCACGCCCGAGGCACCGGCAGGGCAGGTCCCCGCTGGGGTTTGGTGGCGGCTCCTCGAACCCGACTCGTGCTCCCGCGTTGTGGTGGGTTCGAGTTGCGCTAGGGGCCGGTCCGTGTCCGGCCGGGGCCGCGCTGCGCTGACGGAGCAGCAGGCTCCGCGCCCACAGCGCTAGTACCGGCCCGGGGAGGCGCGTTCGCAGCCCCTGGTGAGCCCCCCCGCCCCGCCTGCGGCCGTTACACGCGCTGGCTCCGCAGGGCCAGCGGGGCTCACCGACGGCTCCTGGGCCGTGTCGCGCCCCCGATCCCCGCGCAACCTCCCCCTCCGATTCGCCCCCCCCCTCACTTGGCATCGGCAGAGAACGCCGCTCTGGCGCCGCTCAACTTGCTACCGCCGCAGCGCACCACGCGGAGCGGCTGCTGCGCCACCATCTTCCCGCTGCGAGACCTTCCACCTTCGACCTCTCACCCTTACCCCGCATCGCCTAGCGTTTAGGGCACTTCCGCCCTTAGTTTACATGGGGACAGGAAACTCTCAGTGATCTCCGTGAGGTCACACGGGAGCGCCGTCGGCTGGAGCGCACCACGCTTCGCTCCGCCCCTTACTGGCGGAAGACTGCAACAGAAACCGGAAACTGTAGGATGCGCATGCGCATAGCCTTTCTTGCTGTTCCCGTTGTCGTTCTAGGCCGGAGTCGGCATGTGTGGGTGACGTCACTAATGCGCGCCAGAGTGAGGCAGCAGAGGCCGGCGCCTGGGGAGGTGAGCGAGGGGCGGGGCCTGGAGGCGCGGAAGTGGGGTGAGCACGCAGGTCTCGTGCTGCTGCCGTCCGGCAGCTCGCGTCGGGTCGCTGTCAGGGCGGGCAGCGAGAGCCTTGGCTGCTGCCCCGGCGCGCCTGTTGTTCCTATGGTAACTATGTGGCACCCCTCAGCCACATAGTTATACTGACTTAGTCCCGGTGTAGACAACGCTAGGTCAACGGGCTTCCGGTGGACATAAGCTACCCCTTCTTGGGGAGGTGGCGTACCGCCTGTGCCATGGGAGAAGCTCTCCCAGTGTAGGTAGCATCTTCCCTAGTGCTCTAGTGGCGCAGCGCCAGACAAACCCTTATACAGTCTCCTATGTCTGCATTGCCTGTCCTTTGCTGAGAGGTTTCTGATAACAGGGTGCTCAAAGAGCAAGGCAGCTTTGTCTCGGGTAGTATCGGCTGCTATCCAACTGCACACAGCAATGCTCAACAGTATCTTAGCACAGGAAGTGAAGAATAGTATTGTATCCACTTGAAATGCTAGGGAATCCTCGATAGGGAAACTCTAGATAGGAAGGTTGAAATTATATTAGAATCTGATTAATTGGAACCACCCACTGGTTGGAGAGGCTTTCATCTTGGTTAAGCAGAATTGTCAGTCAACAGCTGCACCTTTGGACTTCAGCACTGACCCCAAAGCATTGGGCCATACTTATATAGCTCTCATCCCCGTTGAATGAGTGTCTCACAAAGATTAATGAATTTATCCTCACAACATCTCTGTTAGGAAAAAGTATTATTATCCACATGTTACAGATAGGGAACTTAGGTATAGAGAAATTGAATGACTTGTCCATCATCTCACAGGAAGTGTGTTGCGGAACCAACAATTGAATTAAAATCTTCCGAGTTCCAGTCCAGTGCCTTAAACAAGAGATAGCCTTGTCCTGTTTAAGCAGCAATGTCAGTGTCAACGGACTTAGTGCTTCCTAGAATATATTCTATAACTGTACCCTAATTGAAATTTAGTTTGAATGCTAAGCTAACACCTCTGCTCTTGAAGAAAAATGTCATGATATTTTATATTTCCACTTAGTGTTAGGACTGCAGAGAAATCAAACCAAAACACAATGCTTCCATTTCCCTCAATGTTAGGTTAATACACTCGTCAAAATTTAGTGCAGAGTTACTAGAAAAAATGCTGATCTTATAGTACAGGTCTGTCTCATCTTACGCGGGGGTTCCGTTCCGCGGTTAGCGCGTAAAGTGAAAACCGCGTATAGCCAAAACCCCATTGAGTTCAATGGCGGGCGAAATCGCCCGCACTACAGGTATAGTATTAAAACTGTTGTTTTTCTCTTTCTTTTTGTTTTTGTTTTGTTTTTGCCGACCGCGTAAAGTTGAAATTGCGCATGTTAAATGCGCGTAAGATGCGACAGACCTGTATTTGTTTTCTGAGACCATGTCTACACTAGAAACTTACCAGTTTAGCAATATCAGTTAATGGTGTAATGTGTTTTTTTATGACATTTCTATACTGGCAAAAGCCCTAGTGTAAATGCAGTTATACCGACATAAACATGCTTTTGCTGGTATAGCTTTTTTGCTTACCGAACAATATAAACTATATCTGTGAAAACACTTTTTTACCAGTATAAGCTATGTGCATGCTAGCAGTGATTTGCCAGTATAGCAATACCAGCAAAACTTTTAAGTGTAGACTAGGCCTCACATCAAGGTTTTAGCTGGGACCAGCTTAGCTGAAGATCTGTAAAGACTGCTGCCCAACCTGGAAAAATGTTATATGTATATACACTTTGTAGCTGAAAAACTTGATCTTTTTATTTACGAGCTGTTTTGGTCTGTATATTGAATGAAATAAAAATAATTTAGTTTCTTCACAAAAGTTCAGAGACTATTTAGAATCTTTTTACCTGTGTCTATTAAGCAATCAGTTCTTTCAGATTCACTCAAGTCTGTCTATCTAAGGTATTCATGTGGACCCCATCTCCATAGTATCTGAGCACCTCACAATGCCAGTGAGGTAGGGAAGTGCTATTATCCCCATTTTACATGTTGGGGAACTGAGGCACAGGGAGACTAAGTCACTTTTCCAAGGTCATACAGGAAGTCTTATAAAACTCCTATATATTCTATCCCCACATGATTTTGGTAGTTATTTCTGATATTCTATACTATTTTAACTCCATACATGCAATTTTATTCCAATTTTCCCCTAAGAAATTTAACCATAAAATGAAAATCTAGATTTAAGGTTTATATTTTTGGTGTACATTTTTATATCTAATTTTGTTGTACATGTAATTGGATTACATCAAAGATATTGTAGAATTTACTATCAACCTTTGATATCAGGAACTGAGACAAGATAACATTAAAAGAACAGTTAAAAAAATTATATTATCCATTGCCAAAATAGAACATTTATTATTAGGCTTGGCAGGATTCAGTTTAAATCATTAGTCATCATTGATAAATGTCTATTTCACCAGGCACACTGAAATCGATGGAAAAAAATATCCATAGGTAATAGTTAGCAAGCACAGCTTCCCAGGCTCCTTGCACCTGCAGGAATCCGGTATCTCCGGCTGCGCAAGGAGTCCTCTGCAGCCCTGCTGTCGTGGCTGTGCAGGGAGCCCCCTGCAGCACTGCTGCAAAATGCTGAAAATTTATTTAAAATTGGGGTGGGGGAGGGAGGGAAGGTTAAAAATAAAATCCATATTGACCGTTGAATTTACCACACACACAAAAATTCTGCCAAGCCTGTTTGATAATGTATCATGTCCTGATTACACCATTGTTCAGTTTTGTGGTGGAAAAACCTTTGTCTTTATTGGAAATGTAAAATTCACATTGTACAAAATCTCATTAAAATTGGAGGAATATTCGCTACTTAGTTTGCATTTGTTTATGCTATTGCCTCACTATTCAGAAATACTAAAGGGTCTAACTCGGTCCTGATGCATGCAATTTTGTAAGTGATAGTAAGAGTTATACGCATCAAATAGATTATTGACTCATAAAATCTTCTCTACAATAATTGACTCCAGGGAGTGTTACTCAGTGAATGTTTCCACCATATAAAATAAGACATCCACAGAAAGTTACAAAAATAAATAGACAATTTACCTAACTGCTTCATGCTCTTAACTTTCACTATGTTGTTGCTCAGTATTCAGAAAAGGTCTGAAAAAGCCTTTGAACATGTACTTAATACTGATAAACAGTCATTCTTGGTTTCCACATTAGTGTGTCAATAACAGAGAATGAATGCTGGTCTTGGGACCACTCTCTGCTAATTTGCAGCAATAGTTTTTGTGTGTATGAATATATTCAACATTTTGAGTAGATCTTGCTGTGTTGTTGGATTTGAAACATTTCTAATGGAATAGTCTCACTGGGTTTACTATTTTTAGTAGCCTCCAAAACAATTGAACTTTTAAAGTGGCTTCCTATTTTGGGTGGTGGTGGGGTTGTTTTTAATCAGAAAGACCAGTTTACACTTCAGTTTGTGTCTGACATCAATATTCTGCCTGGGACACTGACATCAGGAAATCCAATCTGAATATTTGTGGATGTGAATATTGAGCTTACTGGTGTCTGATGTTGACATATGAGCAGAAGCCTTTAGAGCAGCAGAATTCACACATATACACTATACATGTCTCTGATGGAGTGAGCCACCTGCTGAGTTTCTAGCATTTTTTAAAATGAATGTTCTGTTTCTGCACAGCCTGTTGCTTGCGTTTTAGTCTAGTGGTACTTGCAGATAATGCAAAATCCCAATTAAAGCTTTTACATTGAAAGTTTTGTTGCTCTGTCCTTATAGCAATGGTGCTTCAGGGATTGTCTACATGGGGAGGGAAATTTACTGGCATAACTGTTCGGGTATAAACTCCCCGTGTGGACACTCTCATAAGAGTGTCCACACGGGAATTATACTTGTAATTATACCAATATAATGATAGCGGTAAATTTCCCTGAATAGACAAGCCCTCAGGAAAAATGATTCTCTAACTCAGATCTGCTTGCCATGTTACCATATGATATTGTTTGTAATTCAGTTGGGTGAAATTTGCTAACTGAAGAAAGCTGCTCAGACCTTCTTCCTTTTTGAATGTTAGCTGGTGATTTAAAAATGTTCAAACCCTCCTGAGACTTTTTTTATAATTTCATTAGGATCTAGATTTAGACGCATCCTAAGTGAATACATGGGGGACCAATGAAAGGATTACTGCTTACCAAACACTTTATTAACAAAGGAATGTGTAATTAAATATACAAAAAGTAACAAGATCCTTGCACGCTTCATGCTGAATTTTGTGATCATTTGAAATGTAATTCAGGAAATTTAATTGCACTGTCAGTGTTTTGTTTCAAATACAATGCTATTAGAAAGTTTTCTACTCATGTTTCAGGTATACAGTATTTATGTTTGGATATATTAATAAAAGTCTAGAACATCTGATGTCATAAAACAATATTTCTGTTTTATGTTTTGGAAGATGTGTAAAGGTGGAAGACATTAATCCACATCTGTGTAAATCAGGCGAGTAGAGTACAGACATGGCAGAACATAAGAACGGCCATCATGGGTCAGACAAAAGGTCCATCTAGCCCAGTATCCTGTCTTCTGACAGTGGCTAATGCCAGGTGCCCCAGAGGGAATGAACAGAATAAGT